TAATAGAAACTTCGAATTAGATCTATATAAAAGATTTTAAAAAGAGTATAATATAAAATAGTTAGAAACTCGATAAGATTTATATAGACTTAAGAGAATTTTTTAATATATTATTTATTAATAAAGTTAAGTATTATATACTTCTTATTAACTAAGTAATTTTTAAAATTTAATACTTTATATATAAGTATAAAGATAAAGCTTTTAAATTCTTTTATAATTAAAAAACTTAGATGAAAAACGAATTCGATTATAAAATTAAGATAGTTTATTTAAATAATAGTATCGAATTTATTAATAGTAAATTTAAAGAATACTTTAAGAACTTCGATATTATATAAGAGATTATTATAATTTATATATTTAAATAAAATAAAATTAGCGAGATATAAGATCGAATTATTATAAATAAGATAAGAATTATACTTTTTAACTCGAAGTTATCTTACTATTTATAATTAAAACTATTTTATATTAAAGTATATTAAAAGTATAGAAGTATTAGAATTAATATAGATATAATATTAATATAAGTAAGATATAATAATAATAATAAGACTATCGAACTATATAGATGAAAAGAAGATATAATATAATAGAAGATATCTTCGTTAAGGCTCGCTAGACTATAGAGCTAAGAAATATATTAAGAATATACTTATAATAATATATCGATAATATCTAAATCTATAATCTAAAGAATTAAAATAAATATCGAAACTTAAATAAGACCTTTATAAGCGATTCGCTATAATCGATCTCGAACTATACTTATACTATTTAAATATAGAAATTTAGAGAAATCGTAAAAAGAGAATCGTTTAAATTATTTAAACGACGTATTTAAAGAAGATATTATTACGATTTAATATAACTAATTATACATCTATTTCTATATTAATAATAGTAGATACTTAGCTATAGAAGAAACTAGTCGATAAGATTAAATTAGAAATTATTTAGAAGTATTAATTAATAATAAAATCGATAATATATTCTATAATTTAAACTCGCTCGAATATCTATTTTATCGTTATAATTCTTTTATAATATAATTATAACTTTAATTCGAAATATATTATAATTATTAAACGAGTTATTTATTATTTAAAGAAAATACTAATTTATAATATTACGTATAGAATAATTAATATATTAAAAGATTATATAAATACTAATTAGATCTTAAACTAAGAGATCTATCGATCTCTTAAAGTCTATATATTTTATTTTATAGTAAGATAGTTAGCTAAACGTCTAAACGATAATAATTTATTATATTATTATCTTATAAAATTAAGTATATAATTTAAACTTAGATAGTAAAAAAGCTATATAATTAATTAAACTTCTAAGCGAATTAAATATTAACTTTAAATTATTTAATAGATTAATACTAATTAAAGTAAATAATTAGAGAATTATTATATTAATAAAGAATTCTCGCTTTTACTTACGTATAAAGTATATTAATATCTAATAATATTTCGTACGAAATTAAATAAAAGTAAAAGTAATTATATTTAAATAGGTTTCTATAAACGATATAGCTATAAACGAACTTATTAAGGCTCTTATTAATAATAAGTTTACTATATTTATAAATTAAATTAAATTTAAGAAGAGTAGATAAGAAGTAATCTAAATTCGAACTATATAAGAGTATTAAAACTAATAGTATTTTTAATCTACTATTTAAATTATATAAGAGTATTAGAATTAATTAATAGAAGACTAGTATAACTATACTACTAACTTTTAAATAGATATTATTATTACTTCTTATAGTGGTAATGATATAAGTGGTAAATAGTCTTAGCGTAGGCTTCACACCATAAATAGGTAGTCTACCTCTATTCTTTTTATATACTTCATAGAATGTGATAATAGAATAACTATTCTACATGATATGAGATCATTGAATGCACACATTATCCAATACACACCCCCATGATGCAGCATGGGTCCTGAATGAATGTGACACGAGCACAAACCCGATCTTCCCTTTACGTGACACGAGCACGACTTCAGACCTGATGACTGATATCGAAGAATTGAATGTCGACTTGCTCAATGAAGAGGTCGAGTTTGACTGATGCTCTGTGTTTTCGAGCTGACTTGTCTTTCGTGGATATTTTCACCAAGTATCCCACTGTCTTTCGTGGGTGCTCTGTGTTTTCGAGCTGATTTGTGTGTGGTTTCCTCGGTGTCTTGAGGTATGCTCCGGTGTCTTGGGTATTTGGATTAATGATAGACAACAACTTGTGTAGCAGTTGCGCGAGGGCCCATAACCTGTTGGGATTGATTGATTATGGAGTGGTATGTAGGCTACTTATATACCATGTGAAGCCCATGCTAATTTGCCACCTGCGGGGTAGCTACAACACACTATGGTGCTGCAGCATGATTTCCAACACGCCCTCATCCTTGAAGGTAAGTTAGAGCTGACACTGCGAACGCATCTACTGCCGTCTGCAACGTCGGCTGGATTGCGGGTGCAAAAAACGCCGAATGATACTGAGGTATCTCATTGACTCTGCCTTCCTTGACGGCTTTTGCCCACTGCTCGGGGTCGACACAGCCGTAGAGGGTAAACACAAGTGGCGCGCCGCAAGCCGTGGACAGTACTGAGCAATCCTCGCTAGGCCCCAGTGGATCCAAGGGGATGCTATCGTCCCCAAAATACTGATTGAAAGCATCTTTCACAACGGCTGTATGTACGGGGTCGTTGATGGTAGGAGGGGCGTGCATGATGTTCTTGAACACAGGTTCCTTAATCTCCAGTGACCCAGAAGCCTCGCACTCGGCGTGTACCACTCGCTTGATGGAGTTCAAAATGCGTTCATGGACCTCCGGTCGGTAGGTCCGAATGGAGATTTTGATGTCAACATAATCGGGAATGATGTTTGGAGCGCTTCCTCCGTGAAAGCTGGCGCAGCCGACGACGGCAAAGTCTTCTGGTCTCACTTCTTTGGTGACGAGCGTCTGTATTCGAACAATGATATGACTGGCCGTTGCAATGGGGTCGACGCACAGGTCCGCACGTGATATATGACCGCTTTTGCCAAAGATGCGAATTTCAAAGGAATCAACCGCTGTGAGGATCGGACTTTCGCTGAGGGCAACGACGCCTGCTTTGAGAGCAATGTCATGCTGGGCAAGCACGATATCGGGGATTGGAACCCCGTATCTCTTGGTGTCAAAGAGGCCGTCGTCCACCATGGCTTGAGCTCCTCCAGCTGTTTCCTCGTCCGGTTGGAAGAGGCAAATCAGGGTCCCCCTCCACGTAGTTCTCGCTGCATGAAGCAACGTAGCTGCTGCCATAAGGCTAGTCGTGTGCATATCGTGGCCGCAGGCATGCATGACGGGCGTTTCGTTCCCTTGACGATCCTTTGCGATTTTTGTACTCGCATATTCCAGGTTCGTGTTCTCAAGATGGGGTAGAGCATCCATGTCTGCACGGAGTAGAACTGTGGAGCCGGGACCATTTTTCAGGACCCCAACAACCCCGTGGCCACCAACTCCGCGGTGGACTTGGAAACCATAAAGACCTTCCAGATGGGAGGCGGCGATGTTGGCTGTGCGGACTTCTAGACCAGAAAGCTCTGGGTTCTGGTGGATGTCACGATAGACATCTTCGAATGACGCCAAATCTGGGCGGTACTTGTTGATGAAGGCCTTATACGTTGTGGCAGGCATGATGGACCGAGAAATCGAGCGGAAGGGATATCAGAAAAGAATTCGAGGTAATTCTAATTTCGAGCTATTGGATAATGTGTGCATTCAGAATGACGCCAAATCTGGGCGGTACTTGTTGATGACGGAGGCCTTGTACGTTGTGGCAGGCATGATGGACCGAGAAATCGAGCGGAAGGGATATCAGAAAAGAATTCGAGGTAATTCTAATTTCGAGCTATTGGATAATGTGTGCATTCAGAATGACGCCAAATCTGGGCGGTACTTGTTGATGACGGAGGCCTTGTACGTTGTGGCAGGCATGATGGACCGAGAAATCGAGCGGAAGGAATATCAGAAAAGAATTCGAGGTAATTCTAATTTCGAGCTATTGGATAATGTGTGCATTCAGTGGTCTCATATCATGTAGAATAGTTATTCTAGTGTCATGTTCTATGAAGTATGTAAGAAGGATGGAGGTGGACTACCTATTTATGGTGTGAAGCCCACGCTAAGGCTATTTGCCACTTGCGTCATTGCCACCATGAGGAGTAGTAATAACACCTATTTGGAACTTAGTAGTGTAGTCATGCTGGCCTCCTATTGGCTGATTCCAACACTAGCGAATGCTGTGCGTATTGTACGGTGTGAGCAAAACTAGTGAGTAGAAAAGTTGGATGAAGAGTGACAGAACGGAAACTGAAAGTGGGGTCGCAACCGCAAGGCTGGACAAATAAAAAGTGGGACTTGCTACACTGTACTTATTGCGAGGATCCTTTTCGTCCCACTAACAGGCTGTGCAGCTGCGGCAAGCTTTAAATCGCTCTCAAATCACAGGTCTCAGGAGGCAAATGACGGAGCTATTGCCATCTGTCAGCAGAGCGGAACCTCGGAAGATGCTGTGCTTGTGACCGAGGGGATCTGCTAGAGCACACCTCGATCCGAAAAACCAATCTCGATTGGCTATGGTTTAAACGCGCAGCGTCGCATACATGTCCTCAGTACCGAGACAGGTTCGAAAGATTTTACTTTATTCTAACTGGGGACATGGCCGGGGGGCCCAGTGGCCACGTGTATTTATTCGTACACACACACACATGCACATTGTCCTGCGGAGTAAGCATGCGGTCCTTCCTCCGTAAATACGCCCTCACCGAGACCTGGAAATCCCGGCAGATTTCCCTTGTTTCAGGCGTAACCAATGTGTTTGGCCATGACAGTAAATCAAAGTGAAAGATATACGGTTTTATTACAATACTTGTTTTTCACATCTCGACATTCCTTCCCCCAATTCCTGGAGCAAGGACTGCTCAATGAGCGCTCCTCTATATACCGTTCCGGCCGCTCAACCCGTGGACATGGATATCGTCTCGGACGTGAATTTGATGCAAGGGAATTCCCCCTTCCTCACCCACTGCCATTCGATCTCCAATCTGGCCCGGGTATGCATTTGTGTAATGGACTGTCCCACCCGTGCCGTCAAATAGTCTTTCGTTTGAGCCCGCAGTACCACTTCTGCCACTTTCCAGCTGCATGAAGCCTGTATGCCTATTCTCTTCAATCGGATTTCCAAGGGCTCCAATGTGAGCGCCTGCAGGTCCGCCCAAAGGCTCCGATTCTCTTAGTGTTCCAAAGAGATTAGGCAAATAATTCCGGATACCATGTCTGACTAAATTGAAAATACTTGGCAAGCAGCTGCTGATGAGCGCTATTGACAGTTCGATCGTGATCAGGATCTGAGGATATGCAAGATTCCCTGATTGCAAATGTCAGTAAAGAGTTCTTGCTGGGAGAAGGGCTGCTTCAAATTCAAACATTGATGGAGGCGCCAACTTACAGGAGATATCCTTTTCCAGCTTGTCGCCAATGCCAATGATTGACGTCAGGCGTATAGTAGACAATATGAGTACGCTGAACTTTCATCAACTTGCAAGAATCATAGGTGAGCTTCGAGATCTTACCAATATCCTGCAGAGAACACTCCAACTAGTGCGATCTTGCTCGATATCTCAACATGTAGTCTCCACAGCATGGGAATGGGCAAGACCAACAGTATAAAGTCGATCACGATGTTCGGTATCGTTGCGCCCAGGAATGTATTGTTACTGTTGAGACAATGGCCTGGTATGGTCGGATCCCACGATTTGTGGATTGGAGTACAGGTAAAAGTGGCAAGAAAGTTGATAGCTATGCCCCAGCTGGTGATGAGGAAAGCCACAATCCAGAAGATAACCCGATATACTAGTACAATCCGGAAAACACGGACGTAGAATAAAAGCACAGACATTTTGACCACAGTAAGCCCGGTATTGTATATCAGATTGTCGATAAAGAGGAGCTTCGCTAGCTCCGAATGTGACCCAGGGATCTGGTCGATGTGTTTTCCAAGTCCAATGGACACCCAGTAGAGTGAGATTCCACAGATTGCCCAGACGAAAGGCTATAGTCGATAAATGTTAGGGTTCGAAAATTCAACAGAGTCAAATGCGGCGGACTAACAAGAGCTGCCAGGGACAGCCAATCATCCCACCCAAATCCAGCTTTTTGCGCAACAAATCGCCCGCAGAATCTTAGTATCACAGCTAGGGTTGATAGCACAAGGAAGGCATAGTTGACAGCATTGACTTGAGGACCTTTATCTTCAGTCGTGTGCGTGCTCATGTTGCATACAGATCGCCGGGTTCTTTACAATGTGAAGGTGATGGCAGCGACTCCACCTGTTATAAAAATTGAGACTAACAGAAGAAGGATGTGGGTAGGAGGATATGTTTTTTCAACAAAGGATTAAATAATACAGCCCAGGAAACGATACAGGTCCGACTTTTGTAACGAGAAAAGGATAAAGTACAGATACTTTTCCAAGTCCAATGGTCTACTGAATGGAGGGTCAAGTCAATTCGGATATGGGTGGATGACTGGGCGTCACACTTCCAGAATTTTTCCCAGAAATTCGATGTCGTAGCATCTCACTTTCTCAACGCGGCAAGGCTACATGCCACGGGCTGTAGCGGAAGGATCGCAGCGTTCTAGTAGACTCTACTTTCATTCATTGACTATCGCACCTGTCGGAGCAAACAAAAATGCCTTACTCTTTCTTATGGGTGTTAATTGTTGAATGGGTCGACCTCTGCTGTGTGGTGGCATGGAAAGACACGGGGAAACGGGTTTTCGGCAGGCCTACTAATATGCAAGCAAGCTGGAAGGTGCGCAAACATCGACGCTTTTCGGATTTCATGGGACCGGACTGTCTTCTTTTCTTCGACAGTGCCGCTAATGCAGGTAATCAAACAAATAAGGGGTTCATGTCCGGTCACTAGTATGAATAGGGAGACGTATGTTTTACGGCATTAGAGTTGTTATGAGAGCCGTCTGACCGCAGCAATGGGAGCCGTCTGACTGCAGCAATGGCAGCCGTCTGACTGCAGCAATGGCAGCCGTCTGACTGCAGCAATGGCAGCCGTCTGACCGCAGCAATGGGAGTCGTCTGACTGTAGCAATGGGAGCCGTCTGACTGCAGCAATGGCAGCCGTCTGACTGCAGCAATGGGAGCCGTCTGACTGCAGCAATGGCAGCCGTCTGACCGCAGCAATGGCAGCCGTCTGACTGCAGCAATGGGAGCCGTCTGACTGCAGCATGAAAGCCTGTCGCAAAGGAGACTACTGGGAATTTGACTACTTCCGGAAGGAAGCCGTTCCGAGCGGCCGGGTAGCCGGGTGGTCGCCTTTAGAAGACAAAGCTCAAATCGCGCAAAGCAGTGTGCGTCTGATTCCCGACTCGCAAGCATCTCTTCGGTAGAAATTACATGGAACACGTTATGTTGTACTCAAGCAAGACTCCACATTGGCAAGAGAATCGACGCAACGAACTTTCACGGCTTTTGGGTCAGATTATCTAGGCAGCTATGAGATTTTGCAAAGTTTATACTGTACGCTTCTACCTATCGAGTCCTACCATAACATGTCATGTCTCTTAGGAAGATCGTAGATAGTAGGAAAATCAGAATATTCTAAGACTAAGGGGATGATCTAGTCTCAAGAGAAGAACGCACGAAGGAAAACATCATTGCAAACCGCATTCTGAATCCTATGGTAGGCACACAGTCATCAAAATCCTGTCATGTCTGAATGGTTTCTTGTCCGCCTTCGGCGTTCAGACTTCGCTTTTCCCCTCAACCGTCGAGAGCTTTTGCAAAAATGCCAGTAGCCTTTCAAACGAGGGGTACTCATATATCACTTTCGTCGAGATCAGTCCGACATCAGGCCGCAGCTTCGTAAGGAGCTCGTTGATCTCTTTCGTCAGACCAGGTACCTGTAACGAGTCGAGCCCACAGTCAAAGAAATCTGCTTGATCACTCAAGCCGTGAAGATAGGTACTTTCTGCAATTGCATGACGAAGGCCATCCTGCAACCCTTGCAGTGCCCTGGTGGTTTTTTCTTCCAGCGTGAGGCCATTCGATGTCCTTGCTTCCTTACTGTAGGCTTTCTCAGCACCATTAGCTTGAGCAGTAGATATGTTGAGGTCATCTAAGCTCGATTCGCTGGGTTCGGGTCCACGAACGGGACTCGAGCCATTGACTCTGATCCCAGTGGCCTTGACTTCTTTGCTTTGCTGAGTGGCTCCAGGGTTCAGCAAGTCGGCCGTCATCCGCACAAGGGCCGGACCTAGGTGCTGTAAAAGAGCAACAGGTAGAAGACGATTCAAGGCCTCCTCAATGCGTACATCAAGCCCAGACCCGAAGTCAGAATTAGCGGACAGAGAAGTCAACCCAGTAGAAGCAGTTGTTTCTTTGACAGTCGACTTGGCTTGATCAGCAGGCGCTCCAGGCTGTAGCTCATTCTTCCTCTTTAAGGTGTCATATAAAGATCTGAACTCCTCGGAGTAAAGTTCCAGTGCCGCGTAACGCTGGACGGTACCTTTTGCTGCCAAGGGCAACGGTTTGCCCGGGGTGGTGAACATTATGTAGTTTTTAAAGATTCGACCATGAGCTGGACAGTCACGATTGGCCTGCATGACAATGGGCCAGATATCATTGAGCAGGTCCTCCTTCTCCTGAGAAGTGCGAACGTCAGCTTTCGGCTGGACTAGGAGGGCCGCTTGGAACTCTCCGTTCCCACTAATAAGCGTTGCTTGAACTGCCGAGTGGGACGAAATCACAGCCTCCATCGTCACAGGATTAAGCTTTTCGGCATTGCTAAAGGCGATGATGTCGTCGTTCCTTGCTCGAAAAAAACCAAGAGTCGGGATTTCCCGGGTCGGTAGGGTCAAGCTCATAAAGATCGCTTGTAGCGTATTCATCGAGGTTCGGAAAGACTGAGAAAACCCCTTGGAACAATTCAAGTCCAGAATTCCGTACGATGACTAGTTCACTCAAGCCGTCCCGAGACTGGCGGTACTCGTGACCTAGGAACGGACTGAGAGGGAGATATTGCCAGGCCGTAGCTTTATCGGTAACTTTCACCGGAAGATATCCAAGCTCCGTTGCTCCCACCAGCGTCAGAAGTTTCATCTTTGAGGATATAGAGTCACCAACTTCCTTTGATAGGACTCCACCCACGTAGGCCACAAACTCCAATTTCGTAGTCATATTCAATAAGTACTCAGAGGTGTTGAAGATGTCGATAATTGTAGATGGTGGTAGAATGCTGCCATCAACGTCGCCATACAGGTGGATTGCATTGATCACATCCGCAGTAGGTGGGCCGGGCGGTGGCAAGACGCATGTAATGTCAGAAAAGACGTTATAGCCCATTGTGAGAAATAGATTGGCAGCATGGAAAGGAGGGAAGGCTACTAAAATTCTCTTCCCTGCCAGGAAATTGATCACAGTAGGAGATCCTCCGAGAGAAGGAATTAGTTGGTGGGCATCATTGCTAGCAAAGACCCCATGTGTGACGAAGACAGGCTTCGGAAGACCGGTAGAGCCTGAGGTGTGAAGGATCAGGAAGATTTTATCCTTCACCTCGTCAAAGGCTCCTTGCCATTGGTAGATCTCCACATCCGTGCCATCATCCATAAAGTAGTCTATCTCGGGTACCAAGAGGAGTTGTAAGGGCCGGACGGCGAGTACTTCCCGAGCCATCGCTGGTGCTCCAGTCGCAAGTAACATGGTCTGACAGTGCGTTGAGTCTAGGAGGGAAAGATTCGCCTCGAGGCTATTTCGATGGGAGCTTAGGAACGCCTAGCTGGTCAACATAAGAATCCAATAATACTATGAAGAGTAGACTCACCACATGACCTGTCTTAGTAGCTGCGAGCAATACGATGTAGTATCGATAATCCAAAGGACCAAAATAGAGCACCGTCTTAGATGTCTTGCTCCGGCCGAGCTCGCTTTCCATCCACCAAGAACAGCGGTTGACAGCTCTAGCAAAAGCACTGTAGCTGATGTTCACAAATCCATCCTCTATACGAGAAGACTTGCATACTGCGATGAGTGTACGTTGAGGGTCACTAGATGCAATGTCATCGATGATTTTTGGAATGATTCTTCGACCACAGTCCGGAGGAGCAGCAGAGTTGAGAACATCCATCACGGCGAATCGAGGCTCAGGCGTCCAAGACTTTCTAGTGAGAAGTGGCTTAATTGAAAGTTTTCTTTACGAGAATCGATCAGAGTTGGGTCTGAGAAATGAATTCTTTTTCAAGCGCTTGACTGGAAGTGTACTCTGAAAAGATTGAAAGGTCTTAGGGCCGAGATATCTTTCTTGCAGCTTTTGGAATGTCAGGTGATCAGACACAACAATCGCAGCGTATGTAGGAGTTGCATGTACGGAAATAATCCCCGACCTTTGTTAGAGCGAAGGATTAATCAAGCCGGTTTTTCGCTCCCTAGAATGATCGCTGAATATTGCGACTATCACACAGAAAGTAGAAGAGTAACATAACTGTGCCACATAACGATGATAGGATGAGCCGAGTTAGGTACCAAACGGTGCGTTCAGTCGAAGGCAGATCTTACATACAGCAGCACCGACATGTCGGTTCAGCCTACTGGGTGACGTAAGATACATTCTCTCTGGCGGATGGCTGGGATTCTAGAGCAGGGCAGGGCCGGCAGGCCAACTTATTCGAAGGCAGTGCAGGATTTGATGTAGATCACCGCAAGGCTCACGTCACCAAGTGCGACCTGGAGCGGATCCTGCAACCCATTTCAGCTCGTTGTATCTAAGTAGTTGCTACCAGGGTGGTGCACTGAATGGCGTGATGTCCGTCTCATGAAGGTAGGCTATACAGATACGAATTTTCTTTGAAATGCCACGGTAATGCGTTTTCACCAGAAACGCATGACGACCGTATGACTGCTTTGGGCTGTTGTTCCGAGCTACAAAGATAGTATGAAGATATGAGGAAAGTGTGAAAACGCCTGGAATTTGTTGTATAGTGGTTGGTGTTAAAGATTTGCTGCGCCCGTAGCCTGCAGGAGCTTTGCCGTTACTAGTGCTAGGCTCCCGGGATCTCCGCTCGAATGGTTACGTGAGCCCGTCACCCTTATTGCCAATACGCATGACTTTGCGGGCTTCCCGTCGGTCGATCATGATACATCCTTATTCATACGAGGAAGCCCACGCATGCACTATGTCCTCTTTATCAGTGGCAGCTGCCCGTCAGAGTATTCGTGCCTTCGTGACTATCTGACTGGTGTGTGTGTGGGTCTGCCCCGCAAATTAGACGTTGATTTGTTATGGCAAGACTTTGCTGGGTCAGCCGCCAATTCCCACGTCCAATTTCTCTCAGCTTTCTTGGGTTCATATCTTCCTGGTTGTACCTTGGATAACAATCGCCAGAGAAGAGATCTAGGGTTTCTATATCATCCTATCCCAGCTCCCTCAACACAGATCACATCTCAATACTCTCGCCCTTCATGTGTAGTACCTGTCTATTCTCCAACCCTCATCTAAAGAATCCGCACAGTATTCTACATAATTATGCCTGATGAAGAGAAGGCTGTCGCTCCACCCAAGAATGATGACACAGACAGCCCTGCAAACAACCTAGTAGAATCACCCCCCGAGTCTAAGCCAAGATCAGGCCAGGCTCCAAATGGGGGGCTTCGGCGCGTGGCTCCAGGTCGCAGCAGCCTTTGTTCTTTACTTCAACACTTGGTGAGTGTCGTGTCGAAACGACTGTTAAGTGATGGGCGCTGACTTCACATCTCACATCAGGGGTGTGATCAATATGTACGGGGTCTTTCAGACCTTTTATCAGTCAAACCTCCTCGAACATCAATCTGCCTCCAATATCTCTTGGGTAGGCTCTATTCAAGCCTTTCTGATCTTCCTTGGAGGCGCTGTTGTGGGGCCATTCTTCGATCTCGGCTACCTTCGGCTGCTCCTTTCGTTGGGGACATTTAGCACATGTTTTGGTATGATGATGACAAGTATCTGCAAGACCTACTGGCAGTTTGTTCTCGCACAAGGTGTCACAGTCGGAATCGGCTTCGGATGTCTCTTTTTGCCCAGCGTGGCAATAGTGTCTCAATACTTCACCACCAAGAAAGCTATCGCTTTTGGCATCGTTTCGACTGGGGGGAGTATCGGTGAGTCTCGCGAATCCCATACACTCCGAACAAACAAAAAGTACTGACTTGTTCTTCAGGTGGTGTCCTCTACCCTATCATTTTTCGGCAGCTCCAGCCCCAGATTGGGTTTGGCTGGACGGTCCGCACAATCGCCTTCATCATACTTGTCACGCAATTGGTCCCACTACTCGGAATGCGATTGAGAACGCCATCGTCTACGAAAAGGCATGACTTCCTTGACCTTACTGCATTCAAATCTAAGCCATACCTTTTGTTCTGCATTGCGACATTTTTCGGTTTCATGGGCATCTACGTCACCTTCTTCTACATTCAACTTTTTGCATTGGAGAAGACAGCTATCAATGCCAATCTCGCCTCATATCTCCTACCGATCATCAATGCGGCCTCAACAATTGGAAGACTGATACCGAACTTCTTTGCCGACAAGACCGGCCCCCTCAACATTCAAGTTCCGTTCGCCTTCATTCTCGCTGTGCTATGCTTCGGATGGATTGGCATCAAAAGTACTGCAGGTAGTATCGTGTTCTGTCTTCTGTACGGATTCTTTGCTGGATCATTCGTATCACTGCCGGGGGTGACGATCATAAGCCTATCGCCAAACTTAGCTACAATTGGTATTCAGCTTGGTATGTCATTTCTCATCGCTGGACTGGGGCTGCTAGTCGGTGAGCCCATAGCTGGCGCGATATTGCGAGGCCATGGCGGTTGGATTGGCTTGCAGGTATGGTGTGGTGTGCTACTGGGGTTATCAGGCATTTTCTCACTTGCCGCAAGAATTGCCAAGGTAGGAACGAAATGGGGTGCCAAAGCTTAGCGTACTTCATGTTCCTTGCTTGGATACTGCGAAGAGCGAATGGGTAGAGTGTTATAGACTTGGATTATTGCGTAAAAGCTCCGCTCGCCAAGAAAACTTAAAGCTATGGATATGATTGTCTGTTTGTGAAGTAGAGAAAGGTTTTACGTTATAGAATGCCTTACAACACAGCGATCAACGCTGAGTCTGTGCCGCATCATTCAGCCTGTAGCTCCGTCTCACAAGCCCCTGACTGCATCATTCTGGGTCAGCTCCGACTGATAAGAGCTGCGCCGCTTATCTTTCGTCACGGAAGCGCATAAAAGCTGCATGTGATATGCAAAACCGGCGAGTTAGTATTGTCAATCGCCTTTCTCAAATCTTGTGAAAATAACTTGCGGAAAGTCCATTTTCAAATTGAGACTGAGATCAGAACGCAGAATAGTCAATTCGCTTTACTTCTCCAAGCGCTAAATTCGGCATGGACTGTCTATCCCGGAGGGGACATTCCAACGTCACCAAGACTATGGCTCAGCTTCCAAAAGCGATGCTAGAAAACATCGATAACGATACGGACGTTAGAGAATACCACGAGCCAATTGATTTGTCAATGGCTGAGAATTGGCTCATCAGAGAAGAGGTCCTCGGTATAGGTAAGCTTGCTATTGAAAAGCACTTCGACGGCCATGTAATTTCACACATCGTTTCATTTCCCTTCGAAGCGCTACTGACGCTGATGATTCTTCCAGCATCTTTCCATGCCTACAGATTTCTGGGGCAATCCTCGCCTTCTAAAGCTCCTTGCCAATCTTTTCAACAATTATTTCGCACCCAAAATACCAGTCCAACAAGCTCACATTGCTGTTTCCTCGGGCGCAGCGACATGTCTGGATACACTTCTTTGGAATATTTGCAACGAGGGGGACGGTGTATTGATTCCAGGCCCGTATTGGAGTATGTATCTCCGTAATCGTGGTGCTACCGAAGCTCAGGCGTGCAGATGGCTATGATGTCCACTGCCGTAATCGATCCGCCACCAGCCCGATCCTGGTCAGCTTTCCCCGTCTCCAAGATGCTTTTAGTATGGCTCTTGTTACGGCCTTGGAAAAAACTTTCGCCTCTTCCAGTTGCACAATCAAGGCTTTGATCCTTACCAATCCACATAACCCTCTTGGACAGTGCTATCCTAAACCCGTCCTTGAAGAATGTCTTCGGTTCTGTCAGCGGCGAAATATTCATCTGATCTCCGATGAGGTCTTTGCGCTCAGTACTTTCAATCCCAGTCAAGTCGATTTGCCCGAGACTCGTCACTTCGTTTCAATGCTGGCCGTTGATCCGACTGCGCTTGATTGCGACCCTGGAAGAGTCCATGTTGTATGGAGTATGAGCAAAGACTTCGCCGCTGGGGGTATCAAGCTGGTCAGAGCCGCCGCATCCATAACAAAGACAGACATTTACAATTCATGATTAGGGCTGCACCATAACTCAAGATAATCCTTCACTCCGTGACGGACTTGCCATGGCAACCTTCATGAACGTTTCGACCCTTTCGACAGTCTTTGCAAGCGCTCTGCTTTCGTCCGAGTCCTTGCCAGAGCTCGTAAAGCTTAATTCAGTACGCTTGGCAGAGGCTTATAATACACTGACGAGCTTCTTCGACCGTTATGGCATCTACTATATCCCTTGTCATGCAGGTCATTTCATGCTGGCAAAGCTGGCCCCACAAGCGAGCAGTTGGGATGATGAAGCTGCACTCATAATTCGACTAGGTGAAGCAGGAGTGCTAGTCAGTCCAGGTCAAGCTTATCATGTGGTTGAAAAAGGCTGGGCGCGAGTCAGCTTCGCAGTGGAAAGGGCGACTCTGAAAGAAGCTATAAGGAGAATGAAGTGTGTGTTACCTTGGGCTTCGAATGCTCCCAGGCAAACGGCCAGGCAATGACGGGAATGCTGCGCAACTTCAAATCTTGAAAGGCTACATTAGAGATGGGTATGCAGAACGATTGCAATTCCCTTGGTATTCAAATCCTAACACATCACTATCTGTGTCGAGGTTCAAATCCAGATTGTAAGGCTGCGAGAGTCTATGCTGGTCATTGCCCGGGAACGGGATTTCCGAGCGTCCAAAAAAAAATGGCGCTGAAATTGGGCGCAGAGATCATGTCAAATGAAACATCTTCGCATACTAGCAGCATGCAGCTGAAATGCTCCATTGCATCATGAGGAACGAGGCACGAAAGTCTGGTAAAATCTTTCATCCAGGCTGAGGGATATACCGAGGTGTGGGATTATTAAGGCGTCGAATCATATCCTTGCGCTTTTGATCTAATACATAGTCCAATCCCGACAAGTAGGCACGCTTCATAATAGGTCGCGAAAGCATGCACTGCGGGATCTAATATTGAAAATACGTAGACGGACTTGGATTCCGAGCCGTGTAGGGAGTACCTTAGCACTGGAGCCTAGATTATTAGTGTAGTGTAAATCTCTCACAGTCATAATTGACCCCAGAGTCGTATTTTCCAAGTAACAGAAATTCGTCGGGCGCTCCTTTATCCCTTTCCATACGATGTTTGGCTATTTGTGTCAAAGAGTGCATGCACAGCCAGCCCTCTTCGCCTTAAATTTTTCTCTCTTTTTTTTCTTCTATCTATTTGCCCGAAAATGTGTGCATTCTAAGCTCGATGCAGCCTCTGTCCCCGTTCCCATCTGGCAGGCTGGTTGCCATTATTCACCAATGACAAGCTTTCAGTATGGGGAGATACTACATGCTCTACCGCCTTGTACCTCAAGTTCTAAATTGAAAGATCTGAATTTGCCCGCACGGGCACAGACAACAATCAAAGTGATTCAGGCTGCCAATACTCTAGCAGGATGAGTCAGACATTGCTTATAGAGACGTAGCCTCGAGTAGAATTGTCATTGATGAGTGGATGCGCCTACGGCTCCTTCCTTGACGCCCGTTAAAAAATATTCCTCGCTTCTAACACTGCTGCGCTGACTCGAACCTAAGTGTATACATGCACATCAGTAAGTCATTCATGGCTTTAGACGGAGCGATGTATGAATATCGGAGCCTGGGGTAGATAGACCATCTCTGGGCCTAACTACTATCCGAAAGGCTTAGTAATGTGGTAGGTGTAGCTCTAACCAGCATTTTCCGAGCTGCAGAATCCATCATTGAATTCCCAAAGAGCCAGATGCGCCATTCGGACCGTACCTTTCGACCTTGTCTCTTGCGTAACCGTGGCACGGTTACCCACCGCAAGTCGCAAAATCAGCTTCGTAAATAGCGCATTATGGACATCTTCCGGTTGACATTAACGAGTTGTATTAAACTTTGCAAGTCGAAGTCAGAGAACTCTACCTCAATCAACGTTGGGTGGAATCCTTTACACAATGCATATTTTGAATGCAATCTTGCTTCTGATACTTGCAGGGCTATTCCAATCAGTTATGACGACAACTTCGCCTCTTACGGTTTCATCCAGCTCTGTAAAGGCCCCTCTAATTGGACATCTTCCAGCTGTAATCAATGTGTCAAATCCGACGACGAGGTGAGTCCATAACCAGAGATATAACCCGCACTAGTAGGGTCGTCACGCTCTCTAATCTATACATAGTGTAAACGATTACCCAATCGACCCGTACCAAATGCGAGTTCATGACACCACGACGTCCCTGATATTCAGTAAATACGGGCCTCCAATACACTTTCAGACGTTCCTCGAGCTCATCGCCATAACACAATATCAATTGATCGGAGCCGTCACCGCTGCGCATGGTGACGGGCCAGTACACCAATCGAACTTCGAGTGGTCTGAAAAAAGATTGTTCATAAGAATTAGTCGTCCACTTGCTCGGGAAGATTTGACGTGGTTGATGTTGGCAGACACATTGGAAGGGTTGAGGGTCTTCTTCGATGGTTTGCAGGGGTGGTTTGAAACCTCCATCACAATCTTAGATGATACTGCCGGGCCCGTTGGGGATGGAAGCGTTTCCTTTTGGTGACGATTGTTGACGGGAGCAATGCGCTGGGAAACTTTCTTGTGATGGATAAGGAACGTCGTCTCTGGATTATTATGAGGTCGTGCTTGGAGCCATGTAATGTAGCCTTTTCTTGGCCTGGTTAGAGGCCTCCGAATGCGCTTTAGGAGTCGAGAACGATGGATGGATGAACGAAGCACGGAAAGAATGGGGCTTGGCGCTCGGCGCATGAATCTTATAATAGCGGTATCCCACACTCATTAGAAGTTCGTATGTTCTGTGTTATAGGATGATCCGGGCCCAACGTCTTCGAAAGCCCTGCTGAAGCTCTAAGATAGAGAATAGACACATCATCGTACCGTTGTTGAGTGTGTAATAGGTAGGCAAGGTTATAAACACTGATTAATATCTCGGGATACTCGACTCCTAGTACTTTCTCTCTGTACTTCCTCTAATATCGAAGTATTAATGTAAGTAAACCTAAGCTATATAATATGGCACTAGCGATATTATTAGGTTTCCGTAACTTAACGTAGCTTAGCCTAGCGTAACTTGACGTATAATTATTTTCTTCGTTTCTTTATAGCTTTCTAACTTCTTTAATTAATTAATTAGAATTATATTAAGAAATATCTTTCTTCTTTATAAAACTTCTTTCTCGAAGTATATATTAACTTTTTATATTTATAATCTTAATAATTAATAGTAATATTTACTTTTCTATATTAATGTACTACTTCTTATTATTTTATATTAGAGATTACTTTTATATTAAGAAGTTTTCTTTTATTAGAATAATACTTTCTATATTAAAAGATATTCCTTTCTTTAAATTAAAGAATTTACTTTTTTAGAAAAAATCTATTTCTTTATTATAAAAAAGTTATTATTATATATCTATAATAACTCTTTATTTATCTACTTCTTACTCGAAGAAACTTCTTTTTCTTTATAAAACTTATTTCTTTAAAGCTATCTATCTTTCTTTCTTTATAAAAATATATAAAAACTTTAAATCTAAAGCTCTTATACTCTAGAATCTTTATTTTAAATTTTATATAAAGTATTAAATTTTTAACGCTAATCTATATTTAGAATTAATTTAAATTTATTACTTTTTTAAAGAAAGAATTTTTTTTTAGAAGAAAGAATCGCTATAAGAGTTACTTAATTTCTCTTATCTATTAATCTAAAAGTTTCTATAAAATTTGAAATTGCTAATCGCGCGTGTGTCGCGGAAATTATAAAATTCGTCGAATTAGTAAATCTAATTAGAATCTATCTAAATTCCGCCGGTTTAGTAACTATCTTAATCTTTTTCGCTAGTTCTATTAGTTTAGTAGTAATATATATAAAAAGAAAGTTCTAATAATCGACGTTACGACGATAAGGTTCTATAACGATAAGTATTAACGTTAATTTAAATTTGATTATAAAATTAAACGATTTAATAAAATTAGTCGCGTAGATAATACTCTAATATAGCGTATAATAACTCGATATATATATTAATAATAATATATATTAATATTATATGTATATAGAGTATATTAGAGTATATTATATAAAATTTTTAAAGTTACTAAAAATTTTTAAAGTTACTAAATTAATAGAACTGGTAAAAAGAATTAGATATAGATAAAGTCTATTTAATAGACTAAATCGTGCTTATAATACGAATCCGACGGAAATGGCGGAAATTCACTTTTCAGATTTGTAGATGTTTATCTTTTTAAATAACTTTTCTTCTCTTAAAAAAATTTATCTCTTATTTTTAATAAAGCTTTCTTTTTATTTTCTTTCTATATCTTCTTTTATAATAAAGTATAATTATTTATAATTAACGAAATTAGAAAATCTATATTAAATAGAATTAACGATTTTATTTATTTTTTAATTTTAAGCTTTCTTAATAAAAACTTTTAAACTTTATAAATAAATTCTTAATGAAAACTATTATTAGATTATTAAATCGATTATATAGATATATAATTTATCTATTAATATTCTATATAATTAAAATTTATATATTTAATAAAGTCGATCTTAGAGTATTAACTTAATCTCTTTTTAGAAATTACTCGATTAAAGAAATCTCTTATCTACTCTCTTTTCTAAAATTATAATTTTAGATTTATAAATATTTTAATAAAAGTAATTATTATTATTATATATAAAGTTTATTATTATATAAATAGTAATTACTTTCTTATCTAATAAGTTAAAATAGCTCGACTTAAGTTTAAAAATAGCTTTATTTTTAAATATTTAAGGTTTAATTTAAGAGGTTTTATAAATATTTTTCTAGAGTTATTATCTTTTTTTTTTTTAAATAACTTAACCTTTTTATCTTAATAATAATAATTTTTTTTAAACTTAATAAAAACAAAGAAAGAAGATTTATTAATCTTTTTTTATTATTATTTATAACTCTTATATAAAGATTTTAATTTCTTTATTAATTTTAATTCTTATCTTTCTTTTTATCGCTTTTAGATTTTATATTAAAAATAAACTTAACTTTAAGAAAATTTAATATATTAAATTCTTAGAATCTCTATATAAGTATAAATTTAATAAATAAAATTCTCTTTCTATTAAATTAAGCTATATTCGATAAAATATTAAAAAATAATAATAAAAAATATTAAAACTTTATAAATATAGGCTTTTCTAATAATTAATCTAATAAATCGATTTTTAATTAATTAGAAGCTTCTAATTTAGAAAATATCGCTTTAAAATCTAATTTTAATTTCTAGCGAAAATTAGTCTTTATAAAATTAAGAGAGCTTTTAATAACTATTTTCTTCGTCTATAAGAGTAGATTTATTAATATAATAAATTATACTATAAGCTATATAAATAACTCTAAAAAACTTATAATTTATATTTAATATTATAGATTTAATAAGTTTATAAAATCTTTTAAAATCTTTTAGATAAGCTACTTTAAGGAAATCTAGTAATAATTTCTATTTTTTTAATTTAGAATTCTTTTATCTAGATCTTAAAAAGTTATATAATATTAATAATATTATTTTTAATAGTAAAGAAACTATATATTAGAAAATATATTTTTTCTATTAATATATAAAAGATTATATTATAATTAAAAAAGAGAATATTATATATATAAATCTTTTAACTTATTTTTATAAAGCTATCTTATTTTAATAGTTAAATATATTATTTTAAAATAAGAAAGATATAATAATATAACTTTAAATAGAATTAAGAAAAACGCTTATTTAATTATAAGATTATTTTAAAATATTTATATTTTTAACTTTAAATTAATTTATAAAATAAGTTTATACTTTTAATAATATTAATAATAAATATAATTCTATAAGCTATATATAAAGTATTTTTAAATATATTATATAAGTAAGAATTTTTAAAAACTATATTTAAGCTATATAGATATAAAATTATTTAAAAATCGAGTTATAAATTACTATATCGTCTTTAATTTTTTAAATTATATTTCGTTAATTTATAGAGAAGTTTAATAATAGAAAGTATTACGAGCGTATTCTTAATATACTACTCAGTTCTATAACTAGCGGGCCTTAGCGAAGACATCTCCTACTATATTATATCTTCTTTCTATATATATAGTTCGATAGTCTTATTATTCTTAATCTATCTCACTTATATTAATATCGTATTTATACTAGTCTTAATATTATAATAAAGCTTCTTCGTATACCCTCCGACGAAGAGAATTAATAGGTTTTCACTTTCTACTTGAAGTAAGCGACTGTCACAGTAAGCTGTCGTGACTACATAGGTACATGATTTTACCATACCTTCGTACCTGCCAAGGAGGTACCTTGGCAAGAACCTTAGCTTAGCATTATAAGTAGTTACTTCTCAGTAGAAGAACAACCATCTTTACTACACACCACTCATTGTGCTTACATTTCCATGTTGCTCTCACAACTTGGTAGCATTCTGTCTACGTGGAAGGCGACACTGATGACTACAAGTCATATGAGCTACAGTCCTTGCTTAACAAGCGTGTCAGACGTCGTGGCAAAGGTCATTCGGTCGAATATCTAGCACGTTGGAAAGGATATGGCCCTGAGTACGATCAATGGTACAATGTCAAACAGCTAGGCGATGCTCCGGAATTGGTGAAAGACTACGAGATCGCCATGTCCCCTCTATCAGAGCCACTCGTTGCTACACTACCAGAGCTACTACCTCCCCTACCAACAACGCATTTGCAGAAGCCTTCCGCAATCGATCATGCTACTACACTATCACTACCTCCGCTACCAGAGCTACCACCTCTACTATCAACGACGTTGCAGAAGCCTTCCGTAATTGAACCTTCGAAGCCTACCACGGAGAAAGCTATTGCGGTTGTGATACCGAGGAGGAAGGAATTAACCATGTGAGAGCATTGCTAATGTATTTGCTTTTATGGTACTTTATGCTTATATGCCGAGGTCGCCATGAGCTTTTTTATCGGCGGCATGTTGTCACAGTAAGCTGTCGCGACTGCATAGGTACATGGTTCTACCATACCTTCGTACCTGCCAAGGAGGTACCTTGGCAAGAACCTTAGCTTAGCATTATAAGTAGTTACTTCTCAGTAGAAGAACAACCATCTTTACTACACACCACTCTTGTGCCTACATTTCCATGTTGCTCTCACAGCGACCGAGTCTAATAAAGAAAACGCTGGGTATTTCTATTATATAGAAGCCCCACCATATATATAAATCACAAACCACCTACATTATTCGAAAGAATCTATATTAGATAATCTACATTATTAACGATAGCTTAATCCATCAAGAAACGAGTGTTATAGAACCTCGCGAAGAAATAAAATTTCAACACTCAATACAGAGATCTACTACCTTTCTCGACTCGCGCATACCTTTATAGTATCGGAGTTTCAAAGATCTCTCTATTTCACTTAACGAAGATACTATTCGATATTATAATAAATCTCTACGAGGAAGCTTAGTCAAAATCGCTATTTTTACGCCTATCTTCTCCGCTCCGTTCTTATCTATATTTAATATATTATAAGTTTCTTAAATTCTTACTTAAATTCATCTATATTAATATTAAAATATATTTCTTTATATCGTCGATTATCTATATATTATAGCTAGCTTTATCTTATATATAATAATTTATATAGAAGATACTTATCTTTAAATTCGCTATAACTCTATATATTATATATATAATACTCTCTATCTATTAAAAATCTTTATTAGCGATTTTATATTAATTAAGAAAAGATATTAGAATAATAATAAAAGATATAGAATTAAAACTCGCCTAAGATCTCTATTCCGCCCTCGTCCCTATTATTATCTACTTTACGAGATTTCGAGATATTTAAAGTATATCGATATCGACTAATCTCTTTATAGCTAATTAGATAGCTACTTAGTCTAAGACTATTAGATTTATCTATCTTTATAAATACTAATTTAATATTATTCGATAACTAGAAAATAAGAATTTAAGATAAGCTTACTTATAATAATAATTATTTCTTTATTAATATCTTTAAAATTATCTATATTATAGTAAAACTTAAAGAGAAAATTAATTAATATATATCTATTAGATAATAATATCGCTTATACTTTATAGTCGATAATCTTCTAAATTATTTAAGTAACGTATATAAGATACTCTTATTCGTTCTTAGAAAAATCTATTAATATACTTATAATAAAATAAGCTAAGAAAGTTAATTATTTCTTAAATTCTACGGTAATCTTATTAAGTATATCGAATATAATTTTAGAAATAATAGTCTTAACGATCTTAGAAATAATAGTCTAATAAACGATATATAAAAGAAATCGAAACTTTATTTATATAATTTAATTAATCTATTAATAAGAGATTAAATTATATCTAAATTAAAGAAATATATTATAAGAATATAGCTTTAATATTAATAATCTATTAAGAGATTTATCGAGAAGAAAATTAAAAGATTCGCGAAGTAATATATAAAAGTAAAGGTCGAGACTAATATAAAGAAGAAATACTTAATTATAACCCGCCTTACTTTTAATATATAGGATTTAAATCTTATTAAGATAGAGGATCTTATAGATAAGAACTAGGCTTATATATAAAAGTATAGTAAATACTTCGAACTCGATATAGATGTCGACGAAGCATACGAGCTTAGTTGCTAGGGCTTCCTATAAGCGACTCGGCAATATCTCGAATATCGCGTTTTCAGTCAAATTGAAACCGTCCGATGTCTTCGTCATAGCCTCATTTTTTCACATTCGCGAATTAATTCCTCAGGCTTATATTACTTAACAATAACTTTATATTAGACTTACTAAGTAGACTTCTCTTATTATTATATATATAAACGTCTTTAAAAGCTATAGTACGTCGTCTATAGATCTTACTATCGCTATTAATAGTATTAATTAATATCGATTATATAGTATCTTATAGAGAGACTTATATTAAAGTTATTTAATATTAATTTAAAGTTTTAGCGTTTATAACTCGATTCGACTTAAGAGTAATTAACTAATTAGATTTCATTATTTTATAAATTTTCTTATTATTATAAAAGTAAGTATTAAATAGCTATTCGATACTAGACTACGTTTTTAATTACTATTTATTTAATTCTTTATAGATCTTTATTAAATCGAGAGTCTTTAATACTTTAATAAAGTACTATTAACGATACGCTAGCGGAATCTCCTATTACTATCGCTATCGTTACTAAAAAAAGATACTAATTTAGTCTAGCATATTAATATTAAAAGTTCTTTATTTTTATAGATTCTTAGCGAGTATAATATATATATATACGATGAAATTATTTACTTCTTTCGAAGGTCTACGGCAGATAAACTAAATAGAAAAAGAATCTAGAGAATCTTATCGATATATAGATAAGATATGGCTATATCTCCGGGATCTTAATTATCTCCAATCAAGGCCTATACCGACTATAGATATTTAAAGATATAAGGTAAGTAATAGGCCTACATCTCCGGTCTATCAGTTATAGAGATCATGGCTATTAAGAGAAAGGAGTAGTATTACGAGCGTATTCTTAATATATTACTTAGCCCTATAGCTAGCGAGCCTTAGCGAAGACATCTCCTACTATATTATATCTTCTTTCTATATATATAGTTCGATAGCCTTATTATTCTTAATCTATCTTACTTATACTAATATCGCACCTATGCTAGTCCTAATAGAAAGAAGCTATAATATTATTTTAATTAGTAAAAAAAATTATAATATAAAATTATATAAAAAAAAGTTTAAGATTAAGATTAAGAGAGAGATAGAGATTAAGATTATAAATAACGATTTAATAAGAATAAATCTTTTTCTAGAGAATAATAAGATGGATTTTAAAAAGCTTAAAAGTGACTATTTCTTTCTTCTTATCTTTTTTTAATAGATCTATAAATATATAATACTTATTTTTATTAATTAAAATCGTTATATCTAGATTATAAATATTAATAATAATTAAATTTTCTTATATATTTCTCTTATACTTTTTAAGTTTATAGATTTTATTAATAGAATTAAGACGATTAAGTATCTTCTTATATATAATTATCTAAATAATAATTTCTATAAACTTTATCTTTAATTTAAACTTAGACTTAGATTTAGACTTTAATTATAACTTTAGAGAATTAAGCTTTAAAGAACGCTTTATTAACTTCTAAATAGTTATTTATAAATATAATTAAAAAGATCTAATTAAATTAATTATAATATTTAAATTAAATAAATTATTAGAATTATAATAAATGTTTATTTTATCTAGCTAGATAATATAGCGATAATTAAGAATATAATAATTAAGAATTTATAAAAATATTTATAGTTTAATTTTTATAAAAGATATACTTTTATAATCTTAGAAATAAGAGCTTTATTTCTAAAGACTATTATAAAAATTATAATTCTATATATTTATAAAATTCTTCGATATATTATATAAATAATAATTATTATTTTTATAATATATATAAGAATAAGACTTTAAAAGATATAAAATTTAATTATAAAAACGAGGAAGTCGATATTAAGTTTATCTTAATTATTTATTATATTAGAGGCTATTAAAGTTACTTCTACTTATAATAAGTAGAAATATAATAAGCTACTAGTTCTTTGACAGCACCTCATCTATTTCGACTTATGAATAATAACTATTTCTTCTTCTTCTTAAATAGTCTCGTAGTAATGATACCGTGTTAACTACATTCGATATAGGGCCTTGGCGGATAGAAACGGCCGGAGAACGCCTCTCAACAGTGGCCCATAACCACATAAAACACCTCTCAAAGCCATTGCAACGACAATAATACCTCAGCGCAGTCATCATGACTTCTGTCTGCATCACGGGATCCGTCTCTAAGTCAGACGGGCTGGAATCGCTGTTGTTTAAAGCCTTAGTTACCTCCTTGATAAGTAGATAGCTAATACAGGCGTCTGTTAGGGCGCGTTTAGGCTTCTTTCTGGCTATGACGCTTATAGAATTAGGCTTAGCCTTAATAGTGTATTATATGTGTAGAAGGCTACTCTAGAGCGTGTAATAGAATACGAAATAAGTAGCTTATGGAGTGTTGTTGCTCCTCTAGAGGAGCAACTCAGAAGTCGTTTTTTTTCTACTTATCATAGGGCTGATATAGGGCTGAAGGGGTAAATAAGTGACTTATTTCATAAGTAGAAGTAACTTTAATAGCCCCTATTACTATAAATAAAATAAGAGATTTATTAATTTATTAAAAATATTAAAAAAAGTTTTTATCTAATAATTAGTTATATATTTATTTTAAAAAAAATTTATTATTAAATAATCTCTTTAAAAAATATTAGAAAGATTTTTAGAGAGAAGAATCTTATATTTAACTTATTACTAGAGAAGTTAATATAAATCTCTAAAAAAATATTATTAGAAAAGATATCTATTTTTAAAAAACTCGAGTTAATTAAATTTATACTACCCGCGAAATTGAAATAATAAAATAATCTTTTAATTATAATATTATAATATTATAATATTAAACTATTTAATTCTTCTTTAAAAGTCTTATTAAAATTAAAATATTTAAATATTAAATATTTAATAAGTATAAGAAATCGAGTTTTTTTAAAGAGATTAATATTCTCTTTCTTTATTAATAAGTATATAATATAAATCGATATTTTATTATTAAATAAATTACTCTTTCTTTCTTTATAAAAGATAAAACTTTAAAAAAAAGCTTATTATAATTAAGTTTATATAAGATATATATATTATAGATAATTTTAAAATAAACTTTCTAATAAAAATAAATATATTTAATCTAGAAGAAGTAATAGTTAATCTTTTATAGAAATAGAAGAAAGTAATTCTTATTAAATATAAGAATAATATTATTATTAGAAAAGGGGCTTAAGGGTTCTAAGTAAGAGGACTCTAAATTACTTAATTTACGTACGTTTAATATACGCTTAACGAAGTCTTATCGAAGTCTTAGCGAACTCTTAATTACATATCTAAAAATCGTCATCGAAGACTTTACGAAAATACTCCGATTGAAAATAGAGAATATTACGATGAATGTGAAATATAACGTTATAATAAAAGATAGTAATATTTAAATAGTCGTTACTCTCTAGAAGTCTTTCGGCAATAATAATTCTCGTCGCAGATTTATTGGAAAGCTAGCTTTCTTTCTATCGATAAGTTTTAAAAAGTACTACTAAGATCTGAATCGAGAAAGTTAGGTATCTATTCGGGAAGTAACTAAATTTCTTAGCTACGAACATCAAATTTTGTTAGTAATCTCAACTTTATCTCCGTCTCTCTCCATTTCTTCTCTAAAAGAATTCTATCTCTACAAATTATGTCTCAGTTAACTCTTTTCGATTATAATATCTCTTCTTCTACTACCATACGTACTGCGAATCGTTATTAAAAAAAGCGTCAACAATAGGAAAATAAGTATGCCCTCTCTCAATTACACTTTCAAAATTAGTTATAATTTCAGAGAAATTAACAAAGTCAAAATTCATGGCAACGTCGAGATTCCACACTTTACGATATTATAATACACTATCAACCTTAGTCTATAACACCTCATAGACCTTCTTAATACATATTCGAAGGCTTTAACAAATTATCTACTAGACTTCTCTCCGATTCTCCTCTTCAATACGATAATCTTAAATTTCGCTATCAAGATTCTACACAACGTCCAACCTTTAATATATAGAATTTACATCGAGATTACAGTCTTCTCACTTAGCAAGACTACGATACTCATTATTCGAAGAATTCTATTCGTATTCAACAAGTAGAGCGAGATAAAGAGCTTCGAGATACGATAGAACAGCTAGAAGACGCTCGGATTCTCTATAAATATAACACTATTCTGAAGCTATATAACGATATTATCGATATCGTTACTAGGGGTTTTCAGAGTAACTTCGTAGAAATATTCAAAGTGTGGAATTTTCAGATTTCTTACTGTGGAATATTCGGCTATCCTAAACACCCCGCTATTAAATATACCTGATTTCTATGGAATTTTCAGAAATTCGCTTATTAGCCCTAGCCCTAATGGTTATTAGCCCTATGTCTTCGAGTATTTTCTAACCTCCATCGATGTAATTGCCTTTACTTCAGTCCTCATAGTTATACGGCTTACTCTCCTCGTCTTATATACGAAATCAATTAACAATAAGATCTACATCTTATTATAATCATTTAATCTTAGGGTTACGAGGTTTTTGGGTGTTAGGGAATAACGGTGGAGTGACGGTGGGAGTGACGGTGGGAGTGACGGTGGGAGTAACGGTGGCAGTGACGGTGGGAGTGACGGTGGGAGTGACGGTGGGAGTGACGGTGGCAGTGACGGTGGGAGTGACGGTGGGCTTTCTCTTTTTTATTGTGGCGTGTTAAAAGAATATAGGCGTATAGGAGGTAGATAGAAAGGATAGGAAGGCCTAAATAATACTCGAAATTTACCTGAAATAGTCACGTGAAGTGTCTACGAATGTCCGAATATCTAAATATTTGAATATTCCACAATAACCGTACTTTTTTGGCGGTTATTCTCGGAGATGGAATCGTCGGAGTTTCAGAGTTTCAGTGATTCGCCACCAGATTTTGGTGGCAAATCACTGAAACTCCGACACTCCGACGATTCCACGCGGGAAAAAGTTACTCTGAAAACCCCTAATACAAGTAAAGATAAGGATAACGAGAACGAGGACGAGAACGAGAACGAGGACGAGGATGAGGACGAGAATAACGAGGACGAGGACGACGCGAATAAGAACGACGAGGATAAGAACAACGAGAATAAGGACGACGAGGATAAGGACGACGAGGACAACGACGACGTCATAAGCAGTTACTTAACGCTCTCGACGACGTATACTCTTAAATACAGAGCGAGTCCCGCTTAGCTTTTTTAAAACGATTAGCATTTAATCATAACACACATATCTACTCAGCGATATCTACTGCAATTCGATACGGTGATCATAAGACTATAGAGAATCTCATATATTCTAAGATTAATCGACGATATAATCTATTTCTTAGATATCGCTATGGGGAAGATTCGGAGAATACAATACCGTAAACATATTCAATTGCAGCGATATTCTCAGTGTTCCCACAATACTTAGCTAGCTTTTCACTACTGGGTAGCCCGCGCCCCAGCACATATTTAAGCTGGAGTTCGTCATCTTCGTATCACACTACGTATTGTGTCTTCAGTCGCTGTTATGCTTTTATACGCTTGTATATATTAAAGAAGATAAGTGATATTAATTTGTGATAACGCACGAGTAGGTTTGCCGAGTACGTGCCGTCAAGACGTGGCAAATGTATCTCAAAGTCCTCCCGTATCAAGTTTCAGGTGACTATCGTACTGCAAGAATGAACTTCTAGCCATCTATTATTTGGTCGAGCCTTGGCTATTCATCATCTACACTCCACTGCGCTATGAATTATATGTGATTTCGCTGGCCAAGCTATCAGCCTCACTTACTTAGTACATCTAGCCAGCTCGGGCCCTGGATATGGCCTCACGTGTGAAGAGAAGGAATTCATCTAGTATCGTATGGACTCGAAACGAAGGCTTAGCGAAAGGCCCAAGCACTGTTTGGCCTAGGGGCTGACTTCACCCCGTGATAGATGATAAGAAATCCCTGAAGTTAATGAATAGTAGAAGAAAAGACCTTCTTTTCAACTAAAATGATTTAAGCCCGCGTCCATCTCTTCTTAATCTCCGTCTCCAATCCATGTAGCCGTTGCCGTTTATATAGATTAATTCGACGTTCTATACTCAACCCTATCCTACCGACTTCCCTAATTTCCAGCATAGGCCGTACCCAGCCCGCCTCCACGCAGCACTCTTCCTCCTTACCCCAGAATTCGATCCACACCCCGAGCGTCTGCAGCTCCATTCCCGCCACAATCCCCCAAAACCTCACCCACGTCTCCACGTCGTGCGGCGCCGGCACGCGGCCGCCAAAGTGGGCCGGGTTGTCGAAGCGGACCCAGGGGTTCAGGCGAAGGTGGCGGATCTCGGCAAAACGCCACGGCCGCAGGACGTAATCTTTCAAGTAGATCAGGACGAGCGGCGAGGCCATGGAGAAAGTGTTGCTTCGGTAGAGGACCGGGATGGCTTCGACGTAGACGGCGTGGCACGTCAGGGGCAGGGATAGCGAACCCGACGAGAACTGGGCCGGGCGCGGGATACGGTTTCGCTCGTCGAGCCACGTGACGGTGGGAGGCGCGCGGGGTCCGAGCGGGTTCTGCAGGGCGACGGTGCCGGTCGGCTGGTCTTGGCTCTCGGTGTCTCCCTCATTGTGCGCGTATCTGTGGTGCGCGATGCGCTGGGAGACGTCGACGAGGTGGATGATGTCGCCGCCGAGGACGAGCTCGTAAATGTGTTCTCGGATCTCCCGCGGGAGCTTGGTGAATAGTGGAGACAATTGCTGCGGATGGGTAGACAGTGAGCCTTGCGATAGATTGTTGCGAGCGTTTGGCAGGGGAGGCGGCCTTTGTTCGAGGACACGGGCTTGCTCTTCTGCGTGGCGGACGTCTTTCTTGTGTTCCTGCTGCTGAGAATAGGTGCGTCCGTGGTTGCAGGCCCGGTAGATGATATTCAAGGTATGCTTGAGTATTGTCTCCATGACAAAAATGCAAATGGGATTTTGATCTGATGTGGTATGTTGGGAAAAGCTGAAAAGCGCAATTGTGGAGGGTAAGAAATTGGTGGGATGCACCAACTTTTTTATTTTTAGAGAAATCCCGTTTCACGGATATTACGGTGTACGTGTACGATAATAACCCGATGCTTTCATTTTCATTTTTATTCATTTATTCATTTATTCATTTTTGTTTTCTTTGCGATAGCCTACCAAATCAAAGATATGGCCATACTGTTAAAAAATGTGGTAAACAGCCCTACAGCACGTGACTGTACTAGTGGCTTGGCAACCGTTCGAGGGTCGGGTACAAAAGTCTCTGCCGACTCTCCGGCGCTAGGCCCAATTTGCTACTGTAGAACCATTGTTTCTTAAAGAAATAACACTATTATTAAGCTATCTATATCAAAACTCCGTTGCTAAGCCCTTTCGATCTATATATTAATCGACTCGATTCTAGATATAATAGGTTTTATTTTTAAAATTACCTCGCGGTCTAGACGTCCTCGAAGATCTTAAAATATACTCGTTAATCTTCTTTTAATTAATCTTATTTTACTTCTCTTTAATAGTCTTAATAAAGTTATTTAGTTATTATAAAGTAATATAACTTAATTCGAGATTTAAGTATATATTATATATTCTTAATTAAATTAAAATTAAATAAATTAGCTAATTAATTATCGATATAATCTAATTTTATCTTATTCTTTATATATATATAATAATTTTTAGAGCTTCGAGTACTATAGCTTTTATTATTATTCTTCTAAAAGATTATTTCTTTACTTTAAGTCTCGAGAAGATCTTTTCTTTTAAAGATAATTAGAAGAATCTCGTTAGTATATTATTCTTAAGTTATTAAATCTTCAAATTTCTATATCTATTAGCGTATCTTTTTATTCTTAAATTCTTTATCTACTTTCTCGATATATTAATAGAAGATAAGCTTAAATTTAAAGCCTATTAAGATTATAGTCTATATCGAGAATTAATTAATCGTAGTATATCTTCACTTTTAAATATAATTAGAGTATATTCTTTTATAAGAATTACGTATAATTTAATTCGTATAACGAGAATTCTAATAAAAATAACACTTATTAGACTAATAAATAAGTATTTATTTTCAGTTAGACTATTTATATCTCTTATATTAATATAATTAATTCTTTATCTATTTCTTACTAATCTAGCTTTTTTAATATACTCGATATTTATAATATTTAGTCTTATTTATATATTATTTAACTATTCGTTTACTTAATAAAGAATTAAATATTAATAGAAGATATTCGAGAATAGCGTATATAAATTCCTCCGTAATCTAATTTTATAGCTTTTTTTACTTATTATATTATTCTTATAAGATCTTAATTATCTTTTCTACTATCTCTTAATTAATCTTAAAAGATTTTTTAATACGTTTTCTTCTAGATTATTATATAAACTTATTAATAATAATTATTTAAATCCTTTTAGATATATAAATAGTCTTTCGAATTATATCTCTTAAATATTCTTTTTAATTTAACGTAATAATCTTTACGTATTTTAATATAGACTATTTATATCTAGAGGTAATAGAATTAGATAAGAATATAGGTGTAAAGGCCTTCTTGCGTATAGATATAATTATTATTAAGAAAAAAAGAAGAAAGAATAATCTTAGGGGTTCCAGCTAATTTTTGATGGGGGCTACGGGAGAGAGTCGACAGAGACTTTTGTACCCGACCCTCGGTTCACACATTTGTATCCTACCACTCTTAGTCTTAGATCCTCAGTCCACTCCATACACAGCTTGATTTCTAACACATACAGAAATTTTATGGGGTAGTATTTGACTTGCGCCCGAACCTCAAAAACCTTAGAATTAAAGGACTAACCCTAAGAAAGGGCTAAGTCACACAAGGGGGATGTGCTTGGAATGCTCTACTACAATTGTACATGGAATGACTTAGATAGTCCGGTATAAAAATTCAATTTCTGCATCCTTCAACCATAACCGGCGCCCCGTGATGGCTTATCTCTTGCGACGGCCAGTAAGGCAGACAGCATTCCAACATCATACACTAGCGTTTACGCATACTATCAATCCCTCGTGATCTAACAGGAAGGACGTCTTATTTTTTTAAAATCTTCATGTCTTCCGTTAGTATATCAAGATATCCAACACCATATACTTGCAAGGGCCCCCTTGAAACCCTGCTTGCAGACGTTTGGAATGTCGTTATTCTTCGGCGCTGTGAACATGTTCCCAGGAGCCCGGCCGGGACATCGATTTAGCCAGAAGGTTTCCTGACAACATGTCATCATGAATGTCCTAAATTAAATCCCATAATGCGACTTACTAGAGCGTACCAAACGTAGTTCTCGATGTTTATCTTGGCCAGAGCTGGATCCCTTCCCAAAAGTTGGATGGCTTCCCAAGGTCCGTAGGCTTTCGACAGGCAGGGGAAGCTGCCAGCTTGATCATCGAGATATGGGCCCCCTACACCCACTCCCCATGCGAGGAAAGTCACAACGTCGAAGTGTCTAGAGGTAAGTCTCAGTAAGAGTGCTCGGACCACCTCGTAATCGATCTTGCTCGATGGGCTTTGGGACTTACAGTGTCTCGTGAAGAAGAAGTGTCCCTAGGAAATGCATCTTGTAATTGGTTTTTGGCCCAATGTCACGCGCACATTGAAGATCACCCAGTAGTCGCTGCCATAACGCCGTCCATCCGAAATCGTAAACGTTGATGATCTGCCCGGTTGTTATTCCTATATTCGTACGGTCTGACTCGGCCAGGGTTCCAAGCTCCTTGATACCGTTCGTGTGAACCACGGTGATGTCTGACAGGTCCGTCCAAATTGGGAGAACGTCAGCTAGGGGATTAGGGAATCCACCAGGCTGGGCCATCAAGCGGACAGTGTTGAAGATAGCAGTAACGTCCGCGGCATCAGCTGGACTGAAGTAACGTGCCATGACTTGAGGATTAGGATTCGCGGCAACGAAGGTCACAACCTGTACCATGTCCAAGTAGGCTTGTTGTAAGATGCTGGCATCGCTCGGGGAGTTTTGTCCCAGTTTGTAAAGGCCTCTTTTGGATAAATCAGGGCCAGCATATGAGTTATCGTACGTGGAGTCGTTCTTGTTTGCATCCCTGGAATATACACTGTCGTGGAATGATTCGAAGGCGGGGGAAAGGTCTGCAATCTTTTTATCAAGCTTATGAGATGCTGAGGTCGAAGTATAGAGGGCTAGACCGAGAATGATTCGGCACGATGTGTGAAGGCCAACCATGATCATGTTTACGCTTTTTTCGCAGTGAATACCAACGTCGAAAGAACACAAATGAATATATTTGACTCAAATCAAGTGAGCTTCAATATGGCTTCCAAAATGCGATTGAATGATAGGGGCTAGATACACAACGTATAAATAAAAGATCGAAGTAGAAGGGGTCGTGCAAAAAATATAAAGGTAAAGGGGCAAGGGACTCTTCGTAGAATATGGAGCCTTTTTGATGATCTCCTGCATTTTGGGCGAAACACTCGATGCCTGCACGGTCTTGACATTGAGGTTTGACGTTTGTTGGAACAACATTGCAAAGCTGTGCATGTTTCAGATGTACGGCTGAGCCGAACATACGGATCTTGAGTCACCATTTTTAGCAGACACATGCCGACGCTGATAGGTACCAGGGCCGAAATGCAAATTATCGCTCGATATGCGCTGCAATCATATTGCCAGAATTTGGCCGCAAGAAAGATGGGCGCCTTGAAACATACACGAGCAGGACCTCGCTTCCCAGTACGAGGGTGGGTAAGCTCACATAGGCTGGTGAATGGTGATCGGTCTAGATGGTCATACTCGGGTGCTGCGGCGTGATCGAAGGTGTGGTAAAGGAAAACGCTTCGATCGTTCCGGCTTTCCTCGGTTGCCTTGATTGCAATGTTTCAAAGTATAGGCACTGGTCGTCTTGCTTTGGGGAACCAATACACGTGAGAATATTGGGTCTACACATCACATTCCTCATAGCCAGAGGTGGTGACCTGGGTTTCTCGACTTGGGAGCGAGAATCCTGGTCCACTCGGAGATACGGAAGCTACCGTAAGCCGTGGATCTTACAGTCCGAGAAGGGTGGTGAGAAGCCTTCTGGTTGCACGACGCCTCCTGTACTCCTGGGGCGTGCCACGTAATCGTAATTCCGTATGCACGGCTAAGAGTTGCACGATTCTTGTCACCGACTGTTGGATGAAGGAATTGTTGAGGAATGTCGCTCATTTCCGCGTACTCAAATTTTATTCAATGCTTGACGTTGGCCAGTGCCCGCCCCACTTTTGATGACATTACTCGTGGATTTCAGAAGTGAATTACTTGATAGAACGAGGACACCAATAATAATATCAATTGGTGTCCTCGCTTTATCAAGTAACTCACTTCTGTTTGTCAATCTAGATAAGACTCGTTTGAGAGGTCTCGTGTCACAATGCAACAACATATGTGTTGGTTTGAAACTTGATATAGGAGGAAGGGCAAAGTTTGCAATGCCGATATCTCAAATACGCTAAATGCCAATGATTTTACCAGTAACCCGTGTACCAAACCGAGATAGCCCTTTCATCTCCGTTTTGTTTCGCTTTTATCCGTCCTGCAGGTCATCTCCGGCTTACCGAGAGCTGCAATGGAATACTAGACTTGATGGCGCAGCGGTTTCGTGTGGATGAGTCGTTTAACAGAACTGTGAAATCCTTTTGCAGCTGGTTTGATCCCTCAAACTTGCTTCTACTTCAGTCTCAAGGCTCTTACGCATTCGCATCCGCCTATGGAAGAAATCTAATTTCGCTTCTCAGATGTTTCAATTGAGGATGCATATGAGGTGGCGAGAACGTCGCTGAGGGCGTTGGTAAGCAGGCGGAGTGTATTCCTTCATGCACGCAGACAACTTTGCTACCCTTTCTTGTTGTTTTGTGATGTTACGTCAGTACTCCACTCCATGATAGGTTCTCTACGAGGCTTTTACGGTCAGCTCATCCCGAAATATATGCCTGCCTTCTCCCCTTTTTCTAGGACGTCGTAATCTGTACATCAATCGAATTGGAGCCACGCACATTTTGTTCTATCACCTTGTTCCTCATTTCTTCATTTTTGCAAGAAATTGTCTTCGGACGTAACTTTTGCAGTATGGCTGTTTCTCTTGCAATTTTTCTCTTGGTTCCGTTGTCGTCTGTTAACGCTGCACCTCCGGCGGTCCAAATCTCGAATGGCGAGATTCAGCCAGTGGGTACCGCGACTGCTTGCTCGACAATCACAACAACAATCGGTACTAGGATCGACCACGTTCCGGTGCCTTGCTCAGCTTTCCCACCCGTGTTCACTGAAGAAGTGATCGTGAATGGCACATCTGCATCTCTTGTTATCGGTCCTTCAGGAGATGTCAACTTTGAGAATGAGCCGTGGCTTGCTCAGCCAACCTCCCTGGCTAATCCTAACAGCCAACTACCAAGTCATCCCTTGGATAGGACAGTTGGTAGTTCCATTTCTTCGCAAATTGGGTCCCCAAATTCCAAGAATCAAACGACGAGTTCCTCTTATACCAGTGCCTCTAGCGGCTCACTATCCTCGCAGTCTCAATCTCTAGGCACCGGTAATAATACAGCAAGTACCACATCTACTAGTGCTCTAAATGTATCGCTATCCTCGCAGTCTCAATCTCAGATCTCCAGCAGTCCAACCCAGATTTCCAACTCGAACGGTGCATCTGAAAGCTCGTTTTTGACAAATTTAACTTTATCACCTTCATTTACAGCGAACTCTGGAATCGCCACATCCACTGGGACATCTGCGAGCCTGCCAATCGGTAGCATATCGTCCCAAAGCTCTGACAGCCAAGCGGTGAATTCCACCCGCACCTCTGCCGAAAGTTCATTATCCACTCAGTCTCGCAGCCTAGAATCTCTGTCGTCAGGGTCATCAAGAGCTCTGCTGACAGCTTCTCCTGCTTCTTTAACCATCAGTATACCATCGCCGACGACAACCTCTCATGCTCTAACCTCAGGACCAGGTGGGATTTCTCCAGGCTTTCCTTCGTCAGCTTTTGTTCCCATCGCCACGCCAATAACATCCCTGGACCCTATCGGCCCAGTCGTTAAATCTAGTGCCAGCGCAGTGCAAAGTTCTATTTCAATCATCATTCCTGTCATTCAATCGTATATCGATAAAACGACTTGCGACTCATGTTCCACGGATGCAGTCAATGCGCTCAAAGAAGTGCTCCCAATAATCGAAGTACGGTTCGGCAGTGGCCTTTCTCTCTAGAGCGTATGACTGATTGACCAAACAGGAGTTGTCTGATAGTATTGGGCCCGGACCGTCGCCACATCCATGTAGCGCTAGCCTAAACCTTCTTTCCGACATTTTCAACGCGGTGAAGTGTGCTGCACAGAACGTTGAGAATGCTATAAGTCACATTGAGGGCGGTGAAGACGATATCGGTGATCTCAAATCGGACGTAACAAATCTCAACGACCTACAAAAACCGCTTGACAATGACGACGAAGACGATGATGATGAGTCGCAGTCCGCGCCATCTCAGAGTCAGAGCAACCCAACCCAAAGTCAATCATCAGCGTCGAAAGCCTCGGCTTCTCATGTATCAACTATGACTTCATTGACGGCTTCCAAAGTCTCTCTGAGTGCTTCTTCGAGCTTGTCGACAACTGCCTCATCGTCGTCAGGAAGCTGCGCTCTTCCGCCAGTTGTGACCCTTCCCCCGGACTCCTTGACCGGGTACGTTTTCTCCAATGTAGTGGTACTGCAGCCTAGTTGTAAGACTGGCTCGAAAGGTCCAAGTAGACCTGGACTCAGACGACGTCTAAAAATTCAATGGATGGTGAGACAGGAACGCTGACTCTAAGTATCTAGGCCTTCTCAGCCAGATCAGCCAACGTCTGTTATTGTGACTGGGCTCCCGACATCCGTAACCAGAACTTCTAACACTCTCATCACTGGTACGGTGTCGGTCAGTGGCACCGTAGCTGGCAGTGCACCTGCGACCACCACCCAGACCGCAAACATCACCCCCGCACCCACCATCTCCTGTTCCCTTCAAAATGCGGATCCAGACCAAGGAATCAACACCAACTACTGCGTCTGCTCTGGTTCTACCTTCCCCGTGCTCAGTGTCGAAGCAACCGCGACCGGCCCAGGCGCCAGTTGTGCCTACACCTCTCTCCCCAGCGCCAGCACCATCCATCCTACCGCAAATCTCCCGGTCACTACCAGCAATTGTCAAGTCTGTAGCGTGGGCTTCAACTCGGAGCAGTGTACCCCTCTGCCCAATTGCACGCCCACGTCCGCACCGGCTTCGACTGCGGCTACTACGACTACGAGCGCCCCTCCGCCTCCATCTTCGCGTAAGTGATCTAATTATGACGAAAGGGGCTTGGGTGTGCGTAATGCTGACAAACCCTAGCTCCTGTATGCTCAGCAGGCTTTCATGGGACTGATACGAGCTGTGGAGGTAAGTGCAATGGGGCCAAGGCGAAATGCGAGTGTAGTGAAGCGGGGTATGAGAGTTTCAACGAGGCTTGTTACTGTACATGCGGATAGGGAGACAATCAAGCAATACTTCTGCGGTATGGAAGCGTTTGAGGCATATACGGAACTATTTACCCCTTGAGTCTTCTTCGGATGGGGATTTGAAATTACGGTTCCTTTATTTCGTTTCCTCCTTGGTGGCGAGCTTGGTTGCCACTGTTTTGGTAAGAAGCATTGAGTATGCGTAGATGTATCAGAAACGGAGATTGCGGTAATTGTATTATATAAGTGACATCTCTTGAGGGCAAATTACAAATTCATACCCCAAACTATGGAATTCTTACAAATTCATACCCCATCTTACATTTTCATACCCCTCACCAAAAAAATGGGGTATGAATTTGTAAGTTGCCAGTCTTTGGGGTATGAATTTGTAAGTTACCATTTCTTGGGGTATGAAAATGTAAGATACCATGTTAGCAGCAGCCCTCACGGGGGGCCCTGCGACGTCCCTACGGGGCCCTATTTAGGTCCAAATAGGAGTGTCTGGCTGTCAAGCGCAGAGACCCCCGGGACCAAGCCTTTTTAGCTGAGTTGCTATCATTAGAAGGGTATTTTAGGGTGTTTCAGGCTATCTACCCCAATTGTTAGTAACCCGAGTTACCGCTAAGTGGTTAAATAGGGGTGTTTACACTTCACGCTGCAGACACCCCTAAGGAGCCCCACGGGGCCCCCGGAGGAATAATTCCTAACACCAACCCGCCCTATAGATGGCAACTTACAAAATCATACCCCTATAAATGGTATCTTACAAAATCATACCCCTGTCAGTGGTATCTTACAAATTCATACCCCATTGGGGTATGAAAATGTAAGATGGGGTATGAATTTGTAAGAATCCCATAGTTTGGGGTATGAAAATGTAATTCGCCCCATCTCTTGATCAAAAGGGTCTTCGTATCGTACTTGGCTTTTCTTGATTCTACGGATACAACCGTGTCCGTCACTTGTTCACGACCTTACTTACGAGCCTGCGAGAACAGCCCCTCCGGTAGGAGCCCCCAGAGAACCAGCCAAACCGGCAAAGAAATAAAACAATATGAAGACGATTATCTTTATCGTGATCACCTTGTCAGAAAGGTATCAGCACAGTCTTGAACGAGATCCAGCCACGTTCCCGCGCTTCTTGGTTGATAGCGCTCCATTTCTCGTCTCCAAGCAACTCCGTGGGACTCATCGCACCCGTTTCAAAGCTAAGTGCAATCCTCTACGGTATCGCTTGCGAAGTAGTCTCTCTGATTCTTGCCATGCCGTACGACAGCATCTGCACTGCCTCCCAGAGACCGTGATCCCGTAGCTTGACAGTAATAGCAATGCTTAAATCAAGTCCAGGACCCTTCGTCCCGCAATACCGCGACATATCAGCTACGTGAGTTTAAGGAGGTTTTGCAACCGATTTCAAAATAACGTTCAAAACCTAAATAGGCAATTATCGAACAATCTAATCACATGCGACAATATTAACCCTCGCTTAGCATCGTTTAGCGATCATCTTTTAAGACATTATATTAGCAATATCGAATAAATAATATATAAAGGCGATTTAATTCTTAGACGATAAATTAACGTTAAAATATAATAATAAAGTCGAGTTTATAGAGACTAAGAGTAGAGTTAATAATTAGATTAACGGATTCGCGAAAATATTATTACTTAATACGTATAATAAAAATTATATTATAAATTAATATATTTAAGATAATAAGTAGAGTCTAGCTCGCTTAATTCTTCTTATATAAATTTTAATTTATAATTATAATTATTTTTATTTATTATTAATTTATATTTTTAAAAAACTATTAATAATTAACTAGAATATTAAATATTTTAATCTTTTCTAATATTATATAATTATATTTAACTCGTTATATTATAAAAATCTATTATTTACTTAAAATAAAAAGATAGATTCTTTTAATATACTTAAATATCGTAAAATTTTAATAGAAATAAAAAAGTTATTCTATATATTAAACGAGTAAAGGCCTATAAATTAAATTCATAATCATTTTTTTTAATTGAGACTATCGAGTAAATTTTGATAAGCGATCTTTAGTAAGCGATATCTGAATTCCTTACGCTTTAATACTTATAAGACTAAATTTAGAAATTCTTTTTTTATCTGAAAGCTCACATTTCGTTCTATAATTTAAAAAAAATCTCAAAATTTTAATAGAAAACAAAAAAGTTATTTTATGTGTTAATAACGTATATCTAATTTTTGATAAGGAGGTATAAGAAGGCGAGATTTTAATGGTTGCGGACGCTAATTTATTTACTCGCGGTGTCTAATTAAAAAGCGTAGACCTATCGAATTAATAATTGGCTACATATATAAATTCAAGGTTTTTAAGCTTAGTTCTATCTTATTCTATTATATATACTAATAATATATATCTATTTTTTAATTAAAGCTATTCGACTATCGAGCGAACTTTAATAAGCGATATTTAAATTTCTTACGCTTTAATAGTTATAAGACTAAATTTAAAAATTCTTTTTTTATCTAAAAGTCTATAATTCGTTCTATATTTGAAAAAAAAATCTTAAAATTTTAATAGAAAATAAAAAAGTTATTCTATATATTAATAACGTATATCTATTTTTTTAATAATTACGAATACTAATTTATTTATTCGCGATAATTTAATTAATCTAATTAAAGAGCGTAGTAAATCTAAATTTATAACTAATTATATATATAAATTTAAGATTTTTAAGCTTAGCTCTATCTTATTCTTTTATATATACTAATAAGAAGAAAAAAGACGAGAAGAGAGAGAGAGAAGGGTTTAACGTATATATTAGAACTCTTAAATTACTTTAAACGTCTATAAAGATAATCTTTCTTCTTCTTTTTATCTTTCTATCTTTTTAACTTACTTCTCTCTTCTTACTACTATACTTAAAAATATACTTTACTTATTTTATATATAAATAAGTTTAGGCCTATAAGTTAAATTTATAAAAAGTAACGAGTAAAGGCCTATGAATTAAATTCATAATCATTTTTTTTGATTAGGGCTGTCGAGTAAATTTGGTGAGCGAACTTTTGATAGACGACATTTAAATTCGTTACCTTTAAACATTCATAAGACTAAATTTAGTAATTCTTTTTTTATCTAAAAGCCCATATTTCGTTCTATAATTTTAAAAAAAAATCTCAAAATTTTAATAGAAAATAAAAAAGTTATTCTAAAATTAAATAATGTATACCTGTTTTTTGATCAGGGCTGTCCGGCTGTCCGCGATCTTTGGTGAGCGAACTTTGGTGAGCGATATTTGAATTCCTTGCGCTTTAATAATTATAAGACTAAATTTCAAAATTCTTAAAAATTCGGAAAGCACAAATGGCGCTTTAAAATTTAAAAAAAAATTAAAATTTTAATAGAAAATAAAAAAGTTATTCTATATATTAATAATATATATCTATTTTTTTAATAAGAGAGACGTAAGAGAGCGAGATTTTAATAGTTATAAATACTAATTTATTTACTCGCGATAACTTAGCTAGTCTAATTAAAGAGCGTAGTAATTCTAAATTTATAATTAGCTATATATATAAATTTAAGATTTTTAAGCTTAACTCTATTTTATTCTTTTATATATACTAACGAGTAAAGATTTATAAATTAAATTTATATTTATTTTTTTAATTAGAGCTATCGAGTAAATAGATAAGCGGGCTATCTAGCTATCGAGCGAACTTTAATAAGCGATATCTAAATTTCTTACGCTTTAATAATTATTAAACTAAATTTAAGAATTCTTTTTTCTTCTAAAGACTTATATTTCGTTCTATAATTTAAAAAAAAAAAATTTAAATTTAAATAGAAAATAAAAAAATTATTTTAAAATTAAATAATATATATCTATTTTTTAATTAGAGCTATTTAATTATATTTCTTTAATAATTATAAATATTAATTTATTTACTCGCGATAATTTAATCGATTTAATTAAAGAGCGTAATAACTCTAAATTTATAATTAACTATATATATAAATTTAAAATATTTAAGCTTAGCTCTATCTTATTCTTTTATATATACTAATAATTTTTTAGCGAGAGAGATTAATAGTTAATATTCGTAAATAGTAAGATTATATAGAAAATAATATATATATAAGTAGATATAGATAGATACTTAAATATATCTAATATTAAAATAGCTAAGATCTTTCTAAATATATAAATAATTTAGAAAAGACTTCTTAGCGCTAGAAAAACTCTTATATCTAAGCGATATAATTTAAAGTAAAAACGAAGCTATATATAGATATTAAGTAAGAGAGAGAATAATAATATAACTCTAAAAGAGAATAATTTAAATAAAGAGTTATTAATATATAATCTAAAAGAGAATAATTTAAATAAAGAGTTTACTTTTAATATAATAGCTATATAAATAATACTCGCCATATCTATCTATCTCTCTATTATCGTATATCGTATATTAATAATCTAATTAAAAAGATATAATATATCTTATAAAATATTTTATATTAAGTAATATTATATCGTATTCGAATATAGTATAAGTAGAATTTAAATATTATATTATTTTTCTAATATAAATTCGAAATCTTAACGATATATTTTACGATATAATATATCTATAATATTATACTATAAAATAATATATATATAAGATATTCTTATTAAGATTTCTATATTTAGAAGTATAAGTAGCTATTTTAATTATTATTCTAGTTAATTATAGCTATTACTATTATAACTATTACTATTATAGCTATTATTATTATAATTATTATTATTATAACTATTACTATTATAATTATTTCTATTATAATTATCTCTATT